CCCTTCCCATTCTCCCTCATCCCCACCCCCTCCCAACTAGCAACCCTGTTTTTCCTCTGTGTCTCTGAGACTATTTCTGTTTACATTTCTCATTTATTCAGTTCTTTAGATTTCCACATATAAGTGAGATCATATGGTATTTGTCTTTCTCTGACTCATTTATTTCACTTAGCATAATGTCTACTAACATTTTAAAAATTCTCATCTTTAAAATGAATAGATGTCTATTTTCCCTTCCAAAGATAGCATAACCTTCTTTGCACTTTTTTTGCACTTATGAACATTTATATTTTTAAATCTCAAATGGAAATGTCATTCATTCATTGATTTATGTCCTTACTTATTACCTGCCTTTTTAAAAATTATTATTATTATAGTTTCAGGCATACAAAACAATGTAATAGTTAGACATTTACACCCTTCACAAAGTGATAACCCTCCTTAATCTACTACCCACCTGACATCGAATATAGCTGTTACAATTCCACTGACTATATTTTCTATGCTGTACTCCACATCCTCTCTCTCTCTCTCTCTCTCTCTCTCTCTCTCTCTATATATATATATATATATATATATATATATATATATATATATATATATATAAATTTTAGTTGACATTCAAAGAAGTCTGTAATCTGTATCTGGATGGTTTACAAGTTACTGCAGGTGAGTATACAATACTCTTAATTTTCTTCTATTGTTTTTGTTTGTTTATCTATGGTTGGTTAAGGATTCACCTGAATTCTTCAGGTTTTATTAAGTGTGTACTCTCCATCTCTGCCTTAGAACCCTTCCTGTTCCTAGCTTGAAGACACATGGAGTTTCTCCTCCCTCTTTGCCTTTTTAAAAATTTTTGCTTCTTTCTTCTTTGCACACTTTTTATAGTCAAAGTTTTTGTGCCCTCAGAACGTAGCTTTCATCACCATAACCAACTACTGATAATGTTTCTGTCTTTCAATTTTTAGCTGTTCTCAATAATGTTAACTTTCCACAACTATATGACTAATAGAATCGTGGCAGAACCATTTACTTAAATGTTCTAATTTTCTAAGTGCTTTATCAGTCCCTAAAAAAACAATAGTTTATTGTGGAAACTTAACCAATCATACTGTTTTCATTTATCAACGTAAATTACCAAGATGACCAAACTGAATGGTTTCTTCAGATAGTTCTCAGAGTTTAGCAACAATTTACTCACTAAAAAATTGTATAACTTTACAACAAAATGACGTTTTTACTACTCACTGACATCTTAAATAATTAACTATATATAATGATTTCATATAAGATCTCAGATATTTTAGCTTGGTTTTAATAACATAATGAGTGAGTTCTAGTGTTTTAAATGAAAGCATCTCTTGCCAGTAGTTTTGTAAGCAGTCATGTTGGAATTTTAGACCTTAGAAGTGAGTAAGACCTTGGATAGCTAATTTAACCAAGTCGTTTTATACATGAGGTGACTGATGGTAAAGCGTTTCTGTGACTGGCTAGTGGCTTTGGGCAAGTGGGCCAGGTGACTACTAGCTTGTCTCTTTTCACTTTACAAGGTTGCCTTTAGAGTAATAAACTGAATTGCAGAAATTTTAGAGATCATTTAACTCAACACCATTTTATAGATGTGCAAAAGGTGGTTAAAAATGATACCTGCACAAGCGTCTTGCACAATATCTGGTGCATAGCAGAAATTCAATAAATATTTATTTTACTTTCTTTTTTGTCCCATGATCCAGTTAGGAACCCAGATGTTCTAATGTCTACCTAAATGCTATTGTATATCTTTTTTCTGAATAAAAAGCCCAACTGAGGATTGAGTCTGACTTATATAAGCAGTGTTTACTTTAAAAGATAAATACTTTAATAATATTTTATATTATAAAACATATTTATTTCAAATTTGTATTTATAAAAATTCATAAAAGATAAATACTCCTTTTATAAGGTAAATATGAACAATTTGTTCTGATTCCTGGAGTATATAATAAAAACTATTTTATTACTATGTTATTCACTTAGCATATTAAAATTAATTATTTTAAGAGACCACATATTAAAATATGAGTGACTTAACATTCTCCTAATAATTGGGAAGAATATTACTAAATGTTTGAACTTTGCAAAATGTCATTTTTCACAAAGAAAAAGGTTATGAGAAACAGAACTTCCTTTCCAAAATAGTTATATCTCTTTGCCTCTCCATAATACGAGTACATAGCTCAAACTGATGCTTGAATAAGAAAATGCAGGGCACTGGTTTAGGAGTCATAGATACATGTTCTAGTCCTAGCTCTGCCATTTCCTGATGGATGGCCATGGGCAAGTCTTACTAATTCATAATTTCTACATCTGTAAAGTGGCCATAAATAAGTTCAACCCTACAGGACTGTTCTAAGGCTCAAATAAAGATTATCTATCTATCTATCTATCTATCTATCTATCTATCTATCTATCTATCTATCTAATCTGTCAAGCTTTATATATATAAAATATTACATGGTATAGTGGAAATAAAAACACTGGAAGATTCAGGAAATCTGGGTTCTGGGTCAGCTCATCACTGTCTTGCCATGACACCTTGATCAAGTCACTTTTTTTTTATTAGAGATTTTTAAATTAAATATATTGGAGTGACATTGGTTAGTAATCATATAGGTTTCAAGTGTACAACTCTATAATACATCATCTGTATATTGCATTGTGTATTCAATTCACCACCCAAAGTCAATGTTCCTTCTGTCACCATATATTTGACCCCCTTTACCCTCTTGTGCCATCTCCTCACCCCCCGACCCTCTGGTAACCACTAAACTGTTGTCTGTGTCTATTAGTTTTTGCTTATTTGTCTTGTTTGTTGCTTTCTGTTTTATATCCCACATATGAGTGAAATCATATAGTTCTCATTTTTTTGTCTGACATTTCACTTAGCATAATTTCAAGATCCATCCACGTTGCTGCAAATGACATTATTTCATCTTTTCTTAAGGCTGAGTAATATCCCATTGTATATATGTACCACATCCTCTTTATCCAGTCATCTATCGAAGGACACTTTGGCTGTTTCCATGCCTTGACCACCATGAATTATGCTGCAGTGAACATAGGGGTACATATATCTTTACAGATAAATGTTTTCAGATTTTTGGGGTAGATGCCCAGAAGAGGGGTTGCTGGGTCATATGGTAATTCTATTCTTACTTTTTGAGGAACCTCCATACTCTTTTCCATAGTGGCTGTACCATTTACATTCCCACCAGCAGTGTATGAGGGTTCCTTTTCCTCCACAGCCTCTCCAACACTTGTTACTTGTTGATGAAAGCCGATAGCCATTCTAGTAGGTGTGAGGTGGTATCTCATTGTGGTTTTGATTTGCATTTCCCTATAGCCAGGGAAGTTAAGCATCTTTTCTCATATCTGTTGGCTGTTTGCATGTTTTCTAGGGAGAAATATCTGTTCAGATCCTCTGCCCATTTTTAAATTGGATTGTTTGTCTTTTTGTTGTTGAGTTGTATGAGTTCTTTATATATTTTGAGTATTAGCCCCTTATTGGAGGTGTTGTTTGCAAATATCTTCTCCCATTTGGTTGGTTGCCTCTTTGTTTTGTTGATGGTTTTTTTTTTTTTTGCTGTGCTGAAGCTTTTTCGTTTGATATATTTATTCATTTATTTTTGCTTTTATTTCCCTTGTCTTTGAGGTCAAATTCACAAAATCCTCTCTAAAACCAAGGTCCATAAGTTTAGTCCTATGCTTTCTTCTATGCAATTTATTGTTTCACATCTTATATTTAGGTTTTTGATTCATTTTGAGTTAAGAATCAACATAGTTAAAATGGCTATACACGCCAAGCAATACAAAGATTTAATGCAATCCCCATCAAAATCCCAATGACATTTAAAAAAAAATAGAACCAAAATTCATCAGATTTGTATAGAACCACAAAAGACCCCGAATAGCCAAAGTAATCCTGAGAAAAATGAAACAAGGCCAAAGGTACCACATTCCCTCACTTCAAATTATTCTATAAAGTGACAACAACCAAAACAGCATGGTATTGGCAGAAAAACAGACACACAGACCAATGGAACAGATTTGAGAACCCAGAAATGAATCCACATATATATGGGGAAAATTTTTCGACAAAAGAGCCAAAAAAATACAACGGAGAAAAGAAAGCCTTTTCAATCAGTGGTGCTGGGAAAACTGGAAAGCCACATGCAAAAGAATGACTAGACTGTTATCTGTCACCATCTACCAAAATTGTCTCAAGTCACTTTTTAAAAACCATCTGCAAGATGCAAGGGTTGAATTAGATCAGTTGCTCATAGAACTAATTTGGAGAAAGGAAAGTGAGGCAAAATAGCCCTGCTTTTATCAATTTTCTTAGGTTTTCAAATATATCATTTGAATAATGGGTTTTATAAAAAAAAAAGATTTGACAATATTATCTCAATTCCTTGTCATGTGTTTGCAACAGAAAATAAAATAATAGGGCCGGCCGAGTGGTGCGATGGTTAAGAACTGGCTTGGGACGCCAGAGGGCCCCGGTTCGGATCCCACATATGAGGGCCAGTGACACTGCCCTCCACAGCTAAGATGCTGAACAACAGCTCAACCTGGAGCTGGGCTGCCGTGAGTCACCGGCGACGGCATAGGCTGCAGCCCCTGTGGCAGTGGGTTGCCATGGGCTACCGTATGTAGCCAGCAGCCAGCGTGAGCGGCCAGCAGCCGCCGTGAGCGGCCGTCCAGAAGCCAGCGACTGATCTGCCTCGCCCGGGAAGAGTGCAATGATGGTGCCAACTTGGGCCAGTGAGGCGACATCCTCCACAACTAGACTAAAGAACAAAAGGACAGCAACCTGTCTGTTCCCCTTCCCCCAATTCCCCAGCGCTGTTCCCATCCCCCAATTCCCTAATAAAAATCTTTAAAAAATAAATAAATAAAATAAAATAATAGATAAATTTTCAGCAAAGTCCTTGAAGAAAGAAAAATATATATTTTTTTACCTTGCATCCTTCGCAAGCATGAACTCCGTAGTGGAACCCAGAAGCTTTATCTCCGCAGACACGGCATTCAATTGCCATGAGGGAGTTGGAAGGCTCTTCATGAGGCTTACTGTACAGCTGAGCCTTTTCAGAATAATAAGGTGGGGATGCTGGCTCCACTTTGATTGCACCTGTGTATAGAAAAATGTGAGCAGGTCATTATCACATGAAAAAACAAGGCTAAAAAAGGCAATAGAGCAAGTCACTATAGTACACTTTAATGCCATATTTTACTATTTAAGTGCAGAAGCATTATGGAACATGAAAAACACATGGAAAAGAAGGCTTTGTAATACAGACAAGTCACAACACCTCTGAGCCTCACCTGTAAAAATAAAACGGGGAAGAGAATTAAGACTGGTTCTACGACCTTCCAACACCCCGTAATATTAAAGCTCTAACAGACAACAGATAGTATTTGAGGTTATTTTGCTACGTAATGTGTAATTACGTAGAATTACACATTAAGTAAATGAATTAATTTTCACAATGTTAAATTGTATATTTTCATTTAAATGTTGCACTTTAGAAGAATTTTAAACCACTCTTGCAAATGAAACACAAAAGGAACATTGCCGTGAAAACGTAACAGTAAGCCCAGCTTGAAGGTACATGAGAAATAAAGAGACCGGGTTACCATCAATGTTGAGTCAGAAAAGGTGGTTTCTAAAATGATCTTTGATAGACAGTGAGAGAACCTATGGAAAGTAAGCAATACCTTTTCACTGGTTAGGATCAGGCCTATTTAATTCCTATATGAGACTGTAACTGAAAACCACACACGTAAGTATAACCAAGTTTATTATTTATCTTAAAAAAAACCCCTAGAAATACACAAAGTTCTTACTTATTGTCAAATAATGGTTGCCAATTACACGGTAGTGGCTTTGGAAAACCAGCATATCAGCACAAAAACAGATAAAAATCAAGGAAATAGCATCATAGAAATTTATTTTATCTTGAAAAGTGCAGTTTTAGTTTTTCTTGAGTCTGATATTTCGATGTGAATTGAGTTAATGGCATAAAGATTTATCAAGAGATTAAAATGTCAAAATTTAAATTTGTGCTGAAAAACAGGTTCTCAAATGTCAGAATTAGAAGAAATGGATTATAATTTAGTAATCTGGTGTAAGTTATATAAGGTAGCCAACTGTTACTTATTAACTTATAAGTGACCAAAAGAATTCAAAGTCTGGGTGATGGACTCTTAGCCTGAGATAAACCTGACAATGTAATCGTGCTGGAAAATGTTCTTAAGAAGAAGCAAGAAAAAAAGAAAGAAGAGAGAAAGGAAGGAAGGAGGGAAAAAAAATGAAAGAATGATCTGGGATATTTCCACACTGCCTTCCTTTTTGGTATATTGTGAATACCTAACATTTCATGGATAAATGGAAGGTAAATGTCTTCTCTATAGAGTGTTAGCCTCTGGAGCACTTATTCCAGTGTTATTGAGATTAGTCCAATTCTGGTCTTAGTAGTCTGAAAAGTGGAAATAAACATCATACTTTGGTACTCTTGCAGCTTCAGGTCATACTTGTAATCAGCAACCATTGGGTCAGCTCTTGCGAATGGAATGTCTTCATAGTGTGGAGTAGAAATGCTGGAGAAGTCGACGGTGGTGAAGGGCTTGATGTCAAAGGCATGGGAGTGGTCATCCATTACGGAAAGATCCACGGAGCTGATTCCAAAGTTGGTGGGCCAAAACGGCATCTCTGTGTCAACCATGGTAATTTCTGAAATGGGAAAAAAAAAGAATAGCTATGAAGTGGGGTCTGGAGAACAGGCAATTCTCTAAAGATACATAGAGAGGGAACTGACAGTGTTTGGTAAAGGGATCTCATCTAGCTTATCACAATGAGAGAAAACAACATAACCCCCTTCTTAGTGCTGTCCAGGTTGTTTTACTAAAGGAAGGAAGTCACCCCTTACCTGGATATTACAGTAGAGAACCCTATGACACTAGCGATGTGGACAGTGTACCCATATAAATGTCCTGCGAATAGCCCTGCTCTATCTTCCACAGAAGATCGTCCATCCAGTCTGTTAAGGATTTTTATTTATTTATTTTCATATAATTGTTTCATTTTTTTAATTACAGTTGACATACAATATTATATTAGTTTCAGGTGTGCCACATAGCAATTAGACATTTATATAACTTATGAAGTGATCATCCCGATAAATCTAGTACCCATCTGACACCATGCATAGCTATTATAATATTATTGACTGTATTCCTTATGCTATACCCTACATCCCCATGATGATTTTGTAACTGCCAATTTATACTTCTTAATCCTTTCTCCTTTTTCACCCATCCTTCCAACCCCCCTCTCATCTGGCAACCATCAAAATGTTCTCAGTATCTATCAGTTTGTTTCTGTTTGGTTTGTTCATTTATTTTGTTTTTAAGATTCCACATGTAAGTGAAATCATATGGCATTTTTCTTTCTCCGTCTGACTTACTCCACTCAGCACAATACCCTCTAGGTCCATCCACATTGTTGCAGACGGCAACATTTCATTCTTTTTTATGGCTGAGAAATATTCCAGAGTACATATGTACCACCTCTTCTTTATCCATTCATCCACTGATGGACACCATGTTGTCTCCATATCTTAGCTACTATATATAATGCTGCAATGAATATGGATGCACATGTCCCTTCGAAGTAGATTTTGGGTTTCTTCGGATAAATACTCAGAAGTGGGATTACTGGGTCCTTCTTTGTCTCTTGTTATAGAGTTCTGGGATAATCTTACTTTCTTGAAATTACAGATCCTAAATATTTTTCTCTTTAGGATGAAAATTTTGATCCTCCATTTGTGTTTATAATGTTTTTGTTTGACAGAAGAGTTGGTATATTAAATTTAGGTGAGAATTTGTTCTTTAACTGCATTATAAAATAACTTTGTTCTTAAAGTAATACCAAAATGAATCTTTTAAAAAACGGAAGATCCCTTCTGTGCTACGAAAATTTACTCAAATATTTTTGTTTTCTGTGTAGACAGCTTTCCTTAAAGAGGAAAAAGTGTTCCCCAGAGAATGGAGAGGTTAGAGATATGTGGAAACAGATTTGATTATCTATGAGAATCTAGCCCAGCATTCATTTTAAAACCATCCCCAAAACCAAACCAAACCAAAACTAAAAATGGAAACAAGAAAACATATAAAAGATGAAGGTAAAAACACTGATTAGGATTCTAAGGCCACAGAATAACTCATTTCATGAATTGCCTCCTTAAGATGATACACACCACATGCATTTTTCTAAATATGATCTGTAGTCAGAGTAAGTAAAATAAAACCCTGAGATTTTGGTTCTAAGTATTCAATGTGGACTTGTGAGCGACCGGAGTGTGTAGACTTTAAACCTTTATGCGACGGGAGCCTGTCTGCCTTGGTTTACCTCAAATCAGTTCACTATTCAAAGTGATGCCCAAAAAGCAGTTATTAAAAATATTAATAAAATATTAAAAAAATATTTTAAATATTAACTCTGGTCAAAAACACCAGTAGAGAGCTGTGGGAATTTGAGGCTGCTGACACTGGAGACAAAAAAATGACCTGCTCATAAACTCTAGGGCTCCTGAATTCACAGATATAACTGTCTTATTTGCAGTCATCCCTATCACCTAGCAAAGGGCGTGGCTCATGATAGGTGCTCATTAAATATTTATTTCTTCAATACAAAATGAATTGATGAGGCAGCTGTGAAATTTTAGCAGAAGAGGCGGGGATGAGGGGAAGCTTATTGATATTTATTGAGTTACCTCCAACACACCAGACACATTCTACCTTTTATTCCATGCAACTTGAGATATTTTCGAGAAGGAAAGTGACTTGCCCAGGGTCCAACAGCTAATAAGTAGAGAATTCAAACTTGAGACTGACCCAGAAACCCTGTTCTATAGATATTCTCTTTATTCTTTCATTGATGAAAATCATTTATGGAGGAAGGGCTGCTCTCCTAGGGTTATCTGGGAATGGGTCTCTTGTATTTTCCCAGCAAGCAGAGAGCTAAGGAATTTACTCTCAAAGCCTGATTATTGCATGAGGTTAAAGATTCCAATTGTGGTCTTCATAAGAAAAACAAAGTGCCTTGAAAACACAAATAAGGAGACTAGTCCTGTGAATGTGTTTCAGCTGTTCCTAGAGGACTCATTAGGCACCGTTTGGGTTCACATGTCTGAATATCTACACAAATAAGTACCCAAACAACCTGAAGTTATCTGTGTTACAGTGTAAACACTACACGCCGAAAAAGAGGAATGTGCATTGGCGATAGCTTAAAGGTCATACTGGGTCTCAGTGACATCCAGAAAAAAGTTTGTGCTCTTAATGACAGGGGCACCCATCGAACTGAATCCTTTGTATCAAAATTCATCTGACCCAGGTCACTCCATTTACTTTGCCCCTGTCATCAGCATGATTATTTCACATTTCTCTATCCATTTTTCTATCCATTTTTCTCGGTATAAATTGCTCTCATATCAAAATATACCTCTCTTGTCTCGATTGTAATATGTTAATACATAAAAGTGTTATCAATTATTTCTCATTATGTTTATTATAAACAAAATAAAGGTTGACTACAAGAGTTTAAAGTTAGTGTATATGCCTCTGTATGAAGACTGGGAAATGAAAATAAGGATGCAAAAACATCTGTGTTGCAAGGAAAATTCATTGCTCATCATTCTACTGGTTTAATTTTCTTTTGTTTCATTTTAACATATGACTTCAATGACTCCCTGTCAACAAAGCCACGCTTCATAATACAGGAACCATATCCTTATAGATCATCTATTTTATTTAAAAGTTTTGGGGAAAATTTTAGTGTCAAAATAGCTATTTATGTGGAAATGAATAGAATTTTTAAAATCATGTGATTTTAAAGATATAATATAAAATCCTTAAAAATTATAATAGTAGTATATTTTATGGGCAAAAGAATGCTATTTTTAAAAATGACAGACTTTATTTTTTTTTGAGTGGTTTTAGGTTGACATAAAGATTGAGCAGAAAGCACCGAGTTCCCATGTACTCTTTCCCCTTTCTCCCTTCCCCCCACCTCTGAAACACACACAATTTCCCCTATTTTTAACTTGGAGTTCCCCTACTATTAACACTTGCATTAGAGTGGTACCCTTATTACAAGCTGATGAACTAATTTTGATACATTATTGTTAACTAAAGCCCATCCTTCACATTAGGGTTTATTTACTCTTTATGTTGTATATTCTATGGGTTTTGATAAATGCATAATGTCACATATTTGCCATTACAGTATCATACAGAATCGTTAAGCTGCCCTAACATTCCCTATTCTCCACGTATTCACCCCCTCCTCAAGAATGCTATGTTTTTGCTGCTCTCTTCTATTAAGGGCACATTGGTGTGACAGCAGGAGAAGCTCTGACCTACATAATAAATTTAAAAGTCTTGACTTGGCATTCAAGGCCCTGCATGACACAGCCTTGACTTACTTTCCCCACTACTGATCTCCCCCACTAGTGATCCCAGACCTCACTCCCATTCTTGGCATCGCCTGTGGTTACGTGTATCATACTCTGCCCGCGTTAAACATGCTCTGCATCTTCTAGTCTGATCCTCTTTGTTCATGCTGAGGCTGCTCTACCTTCTCCCTATCCCAACTCTTTCCCACAGTAGTCCAAATGCTACTTCCTCCATGAAACCTTCCAGGAATTCTGCAACTTAAAAATACTCTCCATTGTTCCCCCACAGCGCTTTATACTTCTCTTTTAACTGATACCATTATTTGGATAACTCTTTCCGCCATTAAATTTTAAGTTTGGAGCAAAAGGACAGTGTCTTATTATTCTGTTTTCCCTTTAGTCCTTATGCACAGTTGTTTTACTAAATGCTTGCCAATTGAAGAATCATATTTTATAGAGAATAGTAGAATGAGTATTCATTTTTCTGTAAAAATGGAAAAAATAGATACTTTCTCAATGGCTTTAATTTTGCTAAGACTTAAGCTTTCCAGAAAGGATGGTAACCTTCAATATTATATATAAAACACAACGTAAGCTGTAACCCCTTCTCTCAACAATGTATACTCAGTTTTCCTCTTTTGATAATTGCAGGAGGAAGATGAGCATCCTACAAAGTTTGGGTTTTATTTTTCCTATGGGGAAAAGACAAAGTAAGAAAGAAAAACAGCTTTCCTCTTCATCTCTATGAAAACATATTACTCCAATACACACTTTCCTTCCCCCATCCCTGCTCCCTGTCCTCTTACTCTGGGACATCTTGACCTAAATGATATTACTCCATGGAGCATATTTACTGGGAGGCACAATGGTTTCCTAGACATTTTAATTTATTTTGACTTAGAGATGGGTCCAGGGGGCCTGCTTCTAATTTTGTCTCTAGAAAACATAAGCTACTGTTTCTGCCAAGCTGTAAGTCGAGTAGGTGTTTTTTGTTACTCCGTGCAATTACCCATGAAAGAACAAATGCACAAAATATTAGCATGAACAACAGCCCTTCTCAGGGATAAGTAACACAGCCTTAACTTTCCAGCTGGGAGACAGGAGTGTGTTGCGTCAGAGTGTATCTATCAATTTCACAACCTTCAGTGTGTTTCAAGCAGGCAAAAGTCTTTATGCAGACATGGTGAGGAAGGACTTGAATCTATGCCATTTATCTCAGTCCTTCAAACTTGGCTTGAAATGCTCTTATAGTCAGTGAGCAGACTTTGCACAATAT